GTTAAACATTTACCTCAAGTAGACACACGCCCTGGAGAGAACAATCATGGGAGAAGGAAGGGCTGCTTATGCACAGGGAGACAGCTCAGGGCGCAGGAGTGTATGGAGGGATGAACACTGGGAAGAGGTAACTATGGGGAGGAAGTGGGAGGGGAGCTGTTGCATTGTGATAAACTGTGGTCAATGACAGGAGACAAAGTATATGTGAACTGCTGTATGGAAAGTGAATTTGCTCTGTAAATCTTCACCCAAATCACAATGAATAATAATAAAAAAAGACAAAATGATTGTAAATATGTATGTGCTAATACTAAGGAGCTCTGATGGTGTAGTGGTCAAAGCATTTGGTTGCAACCCAAAAGGTCAGTGGTTCGAACCCACCAGCTGCTCTGTAGAAGAAAGATGAGGGAGTCTGCTTCTGTAAAGATTTACAGCCTTGGAAACCCAGTGGGGCTTGCTATGAGTCAGAATTGATTCAATGACAGTGAGTTTGGTTTGGAGTTTATGTGCTAATACTAGAGATGGTTGCAGATTTAGACATACTGAAATAAATTCCAATGGACTATTATACAGAAAAGGCAAGGTTTGGACATATGAGTTTGGCTTGAGTATGTATGTTCTGTAACTACAAACAAGGTCAAGGTGACTGATTGTGTTTGGCTGGTTGTTCTATCAATCACTGAGAGGAGTATTAACATTTTGAACTCTGTTCAATTGTCTCTCTTTCCCTTTAATTCTGTCAAATTTCTCTTCATGTAATTTGAAGCTTGGGACCTGAGTTATGAATAATCAGAGGCTTATTCTTCCTCTTCTCCAGGTCTCTGGGTTCTAGGGTGCCACAACTCAGACTTCCGGAACAGAGGCATGACAGCATTACTGAAGGTTTCCAGTTGTGACAGGAACACTGATTATTATGAGGACATATATGAAGATATTCCAACCAACTTTCTGAATGAAAATAGTGTCATTGAACCCAGATCCTTTTCCAGAAATTCAAGGTACCCTAGCCCCGAGCAAAACCAATTCAAAGCCACCACAACCTCAGAAAATGACAGACTGAAGATGGACTCTCCATATGGAGAGAGAACACAGCTGCTTAAAGCACAAAGTGCCTCCTCTACTGATTTGTTGACACTCTTGGGACAGAGTCCTACTGCACATGGGTTATCTTCATCTGATCTCCAAGAAGCTAAATGTGAGACTGTTCCTGATGCTCTTTCACCCGGAGTGATCGAACGTAAGGACGGCCCATGTGATGCAGCGCACATCCGACCAGCGCTCCATGATGGTGGAGACACAGTCTTCACTCCTGAGCTAGGCCTCCAATTAACATTAAATGAGAATTCGGAAACAACTGTAACAGAAGACTTGAAGAAACTTGATTCAACAGTTTCTACTTCATCAAATAATATAATGACTTCAGCAATAAGTTCATCAGACAACTTTCCAGCAGGCATTGAAAAGACAGATTCCTTAAGACCCCTGAATACGCCAGCTCACTTTAGTAGTCAATTAGGCACCATTGTATTTGGCAGAAAGTCATCTCTTCTTACTGGGTCTGGTGTACGTTTTCACTTGAGTGAAAGAGATAATGATTCCATGTTGTTAGAAGCAGCTGGAATGAGTAGTCAAGAGAGTTCACTGGGGGAGAAAGCATCATCAATGGAGAGTGCTTTATTCAAAGTTAATATCTCTTTGGTAAATACAAACAGAGCACCCAATAACTCAACAATGAATGGAAAGACTCACATCAATGATCCAACATTATCCAATGAGAATAGTACATCAGGCTGGGAAGATATATTAGAAAATGATACTGAGTTTCAAGAAGTGACTTCTTTGAGTCATAATGAAATGTTTATAGACAGAAATACTACATCTTTGGGGTCAAATCATGTATCAAATAAAACTACTTCATCAAAAGATGTGGAAATGGTCCACCAGAAAAAAGAGGACCCTGTGTCGATAGATGTGGGAAATCCAGACATGTCATTGTTCACCAGGCCAGATTCAGAAAATTGGAGAAAAAGGACCCATGGAAAGAACTCCCAGAACTCAGAGCAAGGGCCTAGTCCAAAGCAATTAATACCCTTGAGCTCAGATAAGTCTGTGAAAGATCAACATTTCTTATCAGAGAAGAGTAAAGTGACAGTAGGAGTGGATGAATTTACAAAAGACCCAGGAATCAAAGAGAAGATATTTTCAAACAACAGGAGCATATTTCTTACAAACATGGCTAATATACAGAAAAATGATACCCAAGATCAAGAAAGAAAATTCCATGAAGAAATAGGAAGGAATGAAACATTAATCCAAGGGAATGCAAGTTTGCCTCAAGTGTTTCCAGTGACTGGCACAAAGAATTTCCTGAAGACAGTCTTCATACGGAGCACTAGGCCAAACGTTACTGTGGAAGGTTTAGATGAGGGAACATATGCTTCAAAACTTCAAGACACCAGGTTATTGGATGACTCAGCAAATAGAGTAGGACTTCACAAAGACCATTTCTCAAAAAGAAAGGAGGAAGCAAACCTGGCAGGCTTGGGAAATCAAACAAAGCAAACGGTAGAGAAATCTCCAAGCCCTACAGGGAGGTTTTCTAATCCAAGTCAGCAGAATGTTACCACTCAACATAGCAAGCAGGCTTTGAAACCATTTGGACCCCCACTAGAAGAAATAAAGCTTGAAAGGGGGCTAATTGTGAATGACACCTCAATGCAGTGGTCAAGAAATATGATGTATTTGACCACACAGATGGACCACAATGGAAAGGAGAAAGCAGGCATCACTCAGTCGCCTCTATCAGATTGTTCTGTAAGGAGTCATGGCGTCACCCAAACAAAGGACTCTGCGAAGACATCAGCATCTCCATCAGTTAGCCCTACAGATCAAACCAAGGCACCAACCCAAGACGACTCTTCTCATCTTCCGTTATCAGCCTGTAATTACACTTTGAGGGAGAAGAGTTCTAGTAGCCAAGCAAGCAGTCATTTCTTACAAGGAGGCAAAAGAGATAACCTTTCTTCAGCCACCCAAGCCTTGGATATGATCAGAGGCCAGGAAAAGGTCATCTCCTTAAGTGCCACTGACCCACTCAGGTACGAGAAACTTGAGAACACCATTCTCTTGAAACCAGGCTTACCCGAAGCATCTGGAAATGTTGAAATGCTTCCTAAAATTCGTGTTCATCAGGAAGACTCTTTCTCTACAGAAACTAGCCATGGTTCTTCTGGCCACCTGGGTCTCATGGAAGAGATCTTCCTTCCAGAAACACAAGGAGCTGGTAAATTGAGTCCAGGAAATAGACCTGGAGAAATGCCCTTTCTGAAAGAGGCACCAGAGAGCTCTGGAAAGACTCTCCCCAAGCTACTCAGTCCCCGTGCTTGGGAGAGCCGATGTGCTACCCAGGTGTCAAGAGAAGACTGCAAATCCCAAGAGGAGTCACCAAAACCCACAGCTTTCAATACAAAGAACACTGTTCCTCCCCTGAAGCCTTGTGAAGGCAACCATGCAGTAGCAGCACTAAATGAAGGGCATGATAGGCTTCAAGCAAAAGCCACGCGGGCAAAGCGAGAGGAGGCTGGCAAGCTGTGCTCTGAAAACGCACCAGCCTGGAAACACCACCATCAAAAGGAAGTAACATTTCCTCCCCTTCAGCAGGAGCAAGAAATAATTGATTATGATGATGCTCTCTTGACTGAAATGAAGAGGGAAGATTTTGACATTTATGGGGAGGATGAAAATAAGGGGCCCCGCAGCTTTCAAAAGAAAACCCGCCACTATTTCCTTGCTGCAGTGGAGCAGTCTTGGGACTATGGGATGAGTCAAGCTCCCCGTGCTCCAGGAGGCAGGTATGTGTCCACTGCTTACTGCTCTGTCCCACTATTGGAAAGGTTGACTTTACTAGGTGCTGAGGCAATAGGAAAGGCACACCTTAACATGCAGCCATGAAATGCCAAATATCGCTTTATAGAGGAACCCTGAAAAGCAGGCAGCAAAGTGTAGATGAAGCCGAGGGCAGATGAGAGGTTCCAAGAAGACAGCAACAGTGAGAGGAAAAGGATGGCAAATGCAGACAGCCGAGCCTCTCCCTCTGGAAAGGTGAAGATGGAGAGGGGAGCTACAAGAAAGAGGTAGAGGAGTCCCGGTCAAGAAGCAGCCACAGGGAGCAGAACACCAACCGAGCCTGCCAGCCCTATGGGCTGCAGAGAACTCTTATTCTCATAGGAGAGCCCTCAGAGAGGCAGGGAGCTCTGGTGGCACAGTGCCTAAGGCACTTGACTGCTAACCAGAAGGCTGGCGATTCAAACCCACCAGCCACTCCTCGGAAGGAAGACTGGGCAATCTACTTCCGTAGTGATACTGCCTCAGAAACCCAAGGAGGGGTTGCTGTGAGTCGGGGCCGACTTGACAGCACATAACAACAACAACAACAAGAGAGGCAGGGGGAAGAAGCGAGGAGTTTGGTAAAGAGGTTGAGGATGTTGAAAAGGTTGTTTTCCATGGTATAGGGGGTTCAGACGGCAAAGTGGAAGGATGTGACTAAGAAGGTGGGTCAGGGAAGGACAACACACAGATCTGGAAGATAATCATAGGGACAGTCAATCAGCTAACCATGTTTATTGAACACCTCCTATATGCCAGACACTTTCATAGGCACTGGAGTAAAGGCGCTCTGGTGGAGCAGTGCCTAAGGCATCTGACCGCTAACCAGAAGGTTGGTGGTTCAAACCCACCAGCCACTCCCCAGAAGGAAGGTTGGGCAATGTAGTTCCATAGAGATACTGCTTCAGAAACCCAGTGGGGGTTGCTATGAGTCAGAATCGACTTGATGGCAGTGGGTTGGAGTACAGCAGAGTAGGAGTTTACATTCTATTGGGAAAAGCAAAAGATAACCAATTAGTAGAAAAATAAATAAGGTCATCTTAATGATGCTAGTCAGAAGATAGAACAGAATACCATGGTAGAGTATGAGTAGGGGGTGATACTTTAGCTGGGGTGGTTCAAGAAATCTCCGTGGAGTTGAGGGTCAGCGTGACTGGCATACAGTGAAGAATGGAGGGAGGGAGTTATGGGAACGAGGTGGTAGAGACAAGTCAGGAAACAGGGCCTGCAGGATCTTGTTCTCTTCCCTTTTGATTTCTTTAAACTTTTGATTGTGTTTTTTGGTGAAAGTTTACACAACACATTAGGCTCCCATTTAATAATTTCTTAACATAGTATTCAGTGACATTGGTTACATTTCTCCACATTGTGTCAATATTCTCATTACTTCCATACTGGTTGTTCATTTCATTGAATCTAGCTTGCTCGCCTGCTCCTGCCCCCAGTAAATGTTGACCGTTGGGTCTCATATAGATGATGTATCTATATATATTTTACAAAAATATATATATATTTTACAAAAAGAAGGAGTACAGGTGATATTGTTTATGTTATGAACCAATCTCTTACTTATCTGGAAAGTGTCAAGAAATAGTTTTTTGTGCTGGACACTCTTTCAGGTACTGGGAATATAGCAGTAGACAAAACCCCTTGCGTTCATGCATGGAGCGGCTAACTACGTAAGATGCTGCTTAGATGTGGAGTAAGATGAGGACACAAAGAATTGTCTATATGCCTAAAACTGTTACACCCCAAACCTCCTCTTCCTCTAGGGTTCCCCTCTCAGTGAACTGCATCTCCATGCATCTGTGGACCCAAGCCAGAGATCTGCAAGTTCTCTGGGGTTCTTCTGTCTCTTTTCCCTGCCCCATGACACTTCCAATCCATCATGAATACTACCAAATGAATCTCAAATCCAGAGAAGAGAAGGATATGAAGTATTTCTACCCATTTGGTCCATCAGGATGCTGCTTTTCCTCTGCTTTCTTCTCCAGGGCTCAGAGTGGCAGCGTCCCTCAGTTCAAGAAGGTGGTTTTCCAGGAATTTACTGATGGCTCCTTTAGTCGACCTTTATACCGTGGAGAGCTGAATGAACACTTGGGAATCTTGGGGCCTTATATAAGAGCAGAGGTTGAAGATAATATCATGGTGAGTTGGGGACAATGAAATTATAAGAAAATGAATCCTACATATTTGTTTCTTATTATAAAAACCATGTACTCACTTTAGAAAGTTTTTAAAGTTTAGAGAAATAAAGAAGTTTAAAAATAATGTCATACATGCTAAAGGGAGTCCTTTGAACAGAGAACCAAAAATAGCAAATAACAACC